GGCGAGGCGGGCACTTCGGGCTCGGGCGGGGCTCGGGCGGCCGCCTCGTGCACCTTTTGGTGTCGCACCAAGTGCTGCTTGTGCGTGAAGCTGCGTGTGCACTGCGCGCACTGATAGGGCCTCTCGCCCGTGTGGATGCGCTGGTGGCGGATCAGGTGCGTCTTTTTGCGAAAGCGCTTCTCGCACTCGGTGCAGGGGAAGGGCCGCTCGCCGGTGTGCGTCTTCTGGTGCGAGCCCAGGTGTATCTTCTGGCTGAAGCGCTTGCCGCACTCTGCGCACGGGTAGGGCCGCTCGCCCGTGTGCGTGCGCAGGTGGCGGGTCAGGTGGGCCTTCTTGCTGAAGCGCTTGTCGCACTCGGAGCACGGGAACGGCCGCTCGCCGCGGTGGCTGCGCTCGTGCAGCAGCATGTGCGCGCGCTGCGTGAAGCTGCGGCCGCAGTCCGGACAGGCGCAGGGGCCCTCGCCGCGGTGCAGCCTCTGGTGCAGCCGCAAGGTCAGCTGGTCCCGGAATCGCCGCTCGCACTCCCCGCAGCCATAGGGCTTCTCTGAGGCCGGCGCCCACCCGGCCAGCGCGAGGCCACCCAGCGCGGCCGGAGTCCCCGGCTCCAGCTTATATGCGGCGGCCAGAGGCCCCAGGTCAGGCGCAGGAAAGGGGCCGGGGAGTAACGACAGATGCTGAGGCCATTCGACCTCTTCTTCTGCCTCGTGATCCTCCTCCTCCACCTTTACCTTCCGAATCATCCACTCCTGCCCTGAAAAGTCAAAACAAGACAAGTCTATTAAGCTCCACGTTTGTTTGTGAAACGTGTGTTTGTCAACATGGTCACCACGTCCTGGAACCTGGCTTCTGCTCTCTCCGCTCTACTGGAAAGTTCCTGGAAACGACCAAATCCCAAGATCCTGCCCAGTCCTCCCTCCTTTCCTCTCTGCAGTCCCAGCGCTGGTAACCCCGCCCTCCCCTCCACCCCCTTCCTGGGGGCCTTCTCCCAGGCTGGGGCATGTCGCTAAGGGCGCTTTCCCTGCCTCTGACTATAAATGCTGCTCGAGGTTGTTCTCCAGCTTCACTCTGGGTTCATATGGCCACAGTGGCCGCCCCAGATCTTTCTGTCCAGCAGGTTTCTTTCTGGAACCACAGTCTCACATCTCCAGGTGAGCGGCCCCCCTCCCACGTTCCCAAATTGGCTGCAGCTCAGCATCCTGACCACCAAACACCTGCCCTTCTCAGACCCAGCCCCTGAGTTAGGGCTGGGGGGACTGCAGCCTCCTTCTCCAACTGCTGGGCTGGAACCTCAGAATCTTGAGTGTAGCCTGTGAGCTTTCCCGGCCCCGACCCCTGCCAGCGAACCTTTCTAATCCTTCCTGTTGTCTCTCAGAGGTCCCCCCCCCCCCCGACACACACACCTCACTTTCTTAATTTTTGCTTCTACACCCAGGTGGGCAATCCCAGTTTTGGAAGAGGACCAAGGAATGGTGCCAACCTCTGGAGAAGTAGGGTGGGCCCCTGCGGGAGCAGGTTCCAGGTGGGTTTCCTGGAGCTTGGCCCCTCCCGGGCACTGGAATGGCCCAGCCAAGAGGAAGGAGCTCAGGGCCCAGGCCCAAAGTGTCCTCTTGGGTTTTCCTCTGTCACCAACCAGCAGCGCGACTTTGGTTAACTTATCTTTTTGCTCCTTTCAGCTAAGTTTGTTTGCTCAGGTGTAACGGTTGGACGAGTTCAAGGTTCCTGAACCTGGTACAGCATCATAATCTCCTGGGGAACTTTTACAAAACGCATCTCTGGTAGCAGGGCGCAGGAACCTGATCTTTCTTTAAAGCTCCTACAGTGATTCTTATTTGAGAACCACTGAACCAGATGATTCGAGTTCCTGTCTATAATAGCCTGAGCCTTGGTTACATTACACACGGACTGTCACAATTACATTTACTTTCAGTCTTTTTCCAATCCATCAGTTCCAAGCAACTGTTTATCCTATTGTGATACTGCTTTGTACCACTCTCCTACTCAAGAACATCAATATAATATTCACAGGTTAAACTAATTTCTCACTACGTCTGAAGTTCACCCCAACCTAGTCCAACTTTCTTACTACTCCTAAGCTAAGCCCTTCACTTCAGCCAAGGTGGTCTGCTCCAACTCGAGTCACACGTCAACTTTCCTGCCTCAAAGTCTTTCTCGGCCTAGAATATTTTCCCATCCTCTACCCCACCTGCTTTAGAGCTGAAGTCTACACCTCTAAAATGCAGCGCAAATCAACCGAATCCTTGACAAATCCAGTGCATGAAGCTCCCGTATATAAACTCCTATACTGCATACTCCACTTACTCGTGACACGGCTTTACTGTTAAGTTAATTCCTTATTCTAGTTCGTATTAGTGTCACCTAGACTTTAGCTTCTGGAGGGCAGACGTCTTGTGTTCTATTTCCCTATGCGCCTAATAAAAATGAGGACAGCCACCATCAACTGAAGGCCAAGTATAGATGACACGCCACGTCTATATTGTTACAGACTTTCGCGACAAGCATGAAGCTACCTATATCCCCATTTACAAACTGCAGCTCCTGGAGGTGAGGTAGCCGATTCAAGATCACTCAGCTAGGGAATGTGGAGCAAAGATTCAAACCAGGTCTGTGTTGCTCTAGAACTCATCTCTGTCCATTCTACCTATCACAGCCTGCACCGAGCAGGCACTAAATAAATCCTCGTGGGATAAAATGACATCACTCGGGCAAAAGATGATGAGCTCGGTGGTGGCGGAAGCACGTGATGGGTGAGACAGTGGAGAGAGAACCAATCGTTCGATTGCTCTGGGTATGGGGGAGATGGGTCAAACAACAGATTTAGAGCATTTGGGTACCACCGAGATCAGCGGAGACGTGGGGGAGGGGTGCATCTGGGGAGAGACAATGGAAAGGTTCATCAATGTCATATGTCTTCACAGGAATTATAGTTCAAGCCATGGACAATTCTATTCTCAGACTGGGGGCAGGAGAGGGGAGGTCAGGACTTCTGGAGGAAGTTGAGGGAAAGTGAGGACTTCTAGCGGACGGTCCTCTAGACCAGGCTCTTTGATTCCCGTTGGGTGCTGAAGCTCAGCAGCAGAGAGGTGCCAGGGCCCGGTCCACCTTGGGTTGGAAGGGCCTGGCGTGGCTGCCTCATCAGATAGCAGCTCCTGAGTTTGCAGGGCCCTCTGGTGGGATGGAGCAATGGGAAGACTCACCTGGGCAGGAGCCCACAGGCTCAGCCTTCGCTGGTGTTTGTGCCTGGCCTCCTCTGCAGGGAGCCTCAGTCCGTTCAGTATGGGCACCATCCTCGAGTCTGGGGGCCTCGTACCCTGGCAGAGAACAGACAACCTCAACCTACCGCAGAGATCACAGATGGACAGAAGTCCCCACACCCAGCCCATGTCATCCCTGCGGGGGCTCAATTCCCAGCAGCCTCAGGCTCCTGTAAGCAAGGCAGCCGCTAAGGCCCTGCAGGTTGCAAGAGCCACAACTGTGAGAAGTTCTCGAAACTTCTGTGTATGGACGATAGTGGAGGCAAGCAAGGGCCCTGCCCTTGGCTTTACTTGTGGCTCCTCGGAGGAGGACTGGGGACCTCCCAGCAACCAGACGGACCCGTTCCATGACGAATCATTGGAGAAGACCGGGATGTAAAAAGCCAGGCACGCCCCTTCCTTAGGTACCTTCTCCCAGGATCTGCTTAGCCACCTCCCTCGCCTCTTTCAAATCCTGCTCAGATCTGACCTTCCCAGGGAGGCCTGATCTCACCCCCCCTGCTCTGCTTTACCCCCTCACCCCCCGACAGCACACACCCTCTCTTACACGGCTCCTAAGTGTGCACGGTTCATATTGGTTGGTGGCTGACTCCCTGCCTTTAACAGGACTAAGTTCCTGGAAGGTAGGGGTCTTTGTCTACTTGGTCACTGAGGTGTTCCAAATAGCGAGGATGCCACCTGGCACTAAGCGGGTTCTCAGTAAATAGCTGAGCCGCCCCCCCCCTGCAGTCTCCGCTTACTTACCCGTGGGCAGTATTCTTTCTTCCCTGGGAGGACACATCTGCTCCTGGGTATTGTGAGACCCTTCCCCTGGCTCGCTTTGGGGCGCCATCTCCGGCTGTCCAACAGAGAATCCTGTTCCGGGTAGAAAGCCGAGTCCAAGTAAAGCATCCGATACAGAAGAGGGCCTCAAAGGCAGGGTTTCTCCCCCTTCCCAGCCCACCCAAGGAGTCCAACCCGCTCAGGAAGGGTCTCTAGCCAGTGTGGACAAAGGACAGCCAGGCTTCCCAGCAGCCTGGCCAGATATCAACCTCAGCAGCTTTGTGCTTAGTCAAGGACGGGTGAAGGCAGAGAGAGAGTAGGTTTAAATGTCCCGGAGCTCCTGAGGATGCCACGTGCACATGCAGTCTAGCAGAACCTCCAGCATGGGCCGGACATGCACAGACACCCCAATGAAACCAAAAGGGATGCTGCTCTAAAGGCTCCTGGGGTCTTGGGGGTGTCAGGGTTGCAGTCTACAAGGATGGCTTTGCCTTCTTTATTCTAGAGAAGCAGCAGGCCCAGCACGTCCCTGAATCCCCCCACCCCCAAGTTCCTTCTGCTCTGCAGGCTCACCCAGGGAACTGAGGGCCTCCAAGGTCTCTCTCATGGCAACCCTGGGTAGCTGCTCCCGGGGATCGGGCATCAGACCCTAAGGAGAAAATATATCCTGGCTCATTCTTCTCACAGCAGCTTCCACCGGGCCCGAGCTCTGCCCACCCTGTCCCCCTAACTACCCCAGGAGCTCCAAAGGTAATATCCCCAGGTACAGGTGAGGGAAATGAGGACAAGTGGATTTCAGGGAGCAAAGAGATCTTTAAAATTGGCAGAAGGAGAAGGTCTTGAAGCTATTTCTGCAACCTCTGGTCAGCTCTGGAGTCAGCTCTCCCCCCACCCCGCCTTCACCTGGCAGGTCAGCTCATCAGTGCTGCCCCGGCATGGCGGGGATCAATGGATTCTCTGGGGAGCGGGTCGAGGGTGGGAGACCGGGTTGGGGAGCGGGCAACTTCATCTCCTAGGCCCTCCAGCTGTCACTGCAGGAGCTGGTGAAATAGGAGCCAGCCGAGGGGCGGAGGTGAGTGTCACTACTGGGCAAGTGGTAGGGGAGGCCCTCAGAGGAGGGTCCTCGCTGAAGGCAGGAAATGGCTCTAGCTTCCTCTCCCCCAGAAATAACGCTGCCTCAAAATCATCGCTCCTCCCCCGCTGGGCTTCCCCAGGCAGGGCCACCCCGCCCCCGTGCCCCCTTCCCTGCTCCTCCTCCAGCGGGTGCCCTGCCCC